TGCGTTTTCGTCCTGTTCCTCGTGCCGTATGTTTTTACCATTTTTTTCCTTTATTTGCATGTATATGGTAACCTCATGAGGTGTGCACTTGCACTCACGCAGGCACAGGCGTGTTTTAAATGTATCTACCTTTACTGATGGATCCAGGTGGGTCAAGCCATGTTTGATGATACACATTTCTCCGTAGCTCAATTCACCTATATGTATTTCTATGTATATATATATATATGTTTATTTTTATTTATATATATAAACGCAAAAAAAAAACGTGAATAAAAGTATGAGGGAGGGCCACACACTTTTCCACAATGCCAAGCATGAGCGAATACGAGGGTGGCACAGTCAAAAAAAGTGCCAGCGGTTGCACAGGGGGATAGAAAGAAGGAAAATGGGTGATGGATTACTTACTTCGCGTCACCAGTGGTGTGTGACCTTTTTTATTTTATTTTGCTTCTCCGACGACGTTACGGCTCCAGCGTTGTCATTGTTTTGTTATTGATATTCTTCTTTCTTTGATTTTTATGTTCTTTTACCGCCGTTCTTGCTATTGTGGTTGCGTTCTTCTCTTGGCTTGTCCGCGGCGAGTGGAGCTTCTCGTTGGCGTGTGGATGCCGTAGAGCTCTTGGTGTGTGTGTGTGTGTGTGTGTAAGGAGGAGGCCCCACAATACACGTGTGGTTCTCAATCCTTTGCCTCTGCTTCTTTGTTCTCTGCCATCCTTGCTGGCGTAGCTGGAAGGGCGCTGAGGGGACGTGGAGCTGCGAAAAGCCGTTGGACCCACATACATGCACACGTTACAGGCGATCTAGTGCACGCTTGTGGGCACTTCGCTTTTGTTACATTAATCGGAGCGGCAACTGTTCACGTTTGAGAGGGTTTTTGCCTTTTGTCTCAGCGCCCAGGAAGTGGGCGCAAAGGATTTTCGTCGCTGCCGTCTTCTGCTTTGGGGAACCTAACCGCTGGCCCGCTCCAGTTGGAGTCATGTATGCGCTTACTTTTGCTTTGCGGCTGTTTTTTTGGCGGGCGAGGACAGAGTTCCACCCGAGCTGTGTGACGTCCGCTGAGTCCTTGGACTCTCTCGCGGTGCGTGACGTGTTGCACTTGGGGCCCCTGCCTGCAAGCCGCTTGCAGACGGTGATGATGGTGCTGTTGTTGATTTTGTGTGAGTTTCGTCTTGGCGCTACATGCGCACCTGCCTGCGGGGAGATGAAACAGGCAAGGTGAGGTGCGTGCGTGCGTGCGTGCGTGCTTCTTTTATGACGCTTTTTTTTTCTACTTTGCTGTTACACACGACAAGGTGGGCAGGCAAATTTGCTCGTGTCACTGTTCTCTTCCTTGCATTGGTCCGTGCTTCTTCTTGTGGCGTTACGTGACGCCTCACTGGTCCTCCACCCGGCCCCCTGCAAGGAGGCAGGGACACCACGTTCTTCCTCGCTTTTTATTTTCCACAAGTGAGGGGTGGATGGCCTGCTGTCGTCCGGCGGCCAACTTGGACGAAAGCAGCAGCGCTGTTGTTGCCATTCACAGCGTAAGCGTTCTTTCCGAGTCTTCGGAATTCATTCGTTCCGCCTGCGTTGGAGATGGTGATCTCCCGAACTCTCTGAGCCCAGTGCTGTGTGCTGACTGCCGGCTCCCTGGAGTTCCTGGGGAAGTCAGCATCGGGTCGCAACCGCAGCTTCTCACCAGCTGCTCAGTTAGTCGTCTTTTCTGCAGGGAAGACAAAAAAGCACGGTGCCTTCGTTCTCCACGTGGCGGCTTAGAGGTCGAATCCGCGCCGGAATTGACGACGTCCACGCAGTTTTTCACCACCCGACCCGTTCGTCGGCAAATGGAGGATAGAATTGGTCGTGATGACTTAGTGCACCAGCCGTTGCTAGGTAACATTCGTGCAAATATACTGAAATCCAGCATTCCTGATTTGAATAAAAATGAAGCTGGGGATAACGGCGATGATTTCGTTCCCATGGGTGACAAGGGTATCCGGGAATTTTGTGCAAAAGTTATGCGAGCTAGAGAACATCATGAGAAAAGGAAGAAAGCTGACGCCATGGCGGAGGGGAGTTGCGGCGAAGGATCCGTGGTAGATCACCATGAACAGGGTGCCTCAGAGGCCCATGTTTCTCGCGTTTGCTTCCCCCATTTCGAGGAAAAGGAGGAGGCGGGTGAGAGGTGGAGACGCATGGGAAAGAATACGAATGTGGCCCATTCCCCGTGTAAAGTAAGAAGAGTTGTTTTTGAACAAGACACTCTTTCTGGCTGGAAAAGCAGCGGGGCCGTCGAGCCCAGTTCGGAGGCTGGCTGCGGTGCATTCACTGGGAGGGACGAGGCAAGGGTGCGAGGCGGCGCCAAGCATAACGGCTTTCGAGAGCCGCAGAAGGAGGACCTTGCTGGAAGAGAGGGCATTTTGTGCTTCCTTGAAGCTGGTGCGGCGGAGAACGCCGAGTACACTGAGAATGATGTGCCCCGTTTGGGTTCTGTCAGTGGCTTCTATGCATTGGAAGGAAGTATGCTGCGACAAGTTAGGCGTGCACGCCAAATACCTTTAGTTGTCTCCGCCCCGCATCGCGTCCCTGTTAAAGTGACAACGCCACCTCGCGGTGTCACTACTAACAAGAGCCGCATCGCCCATTGCTGCGTAAAAGCCGGCACCGGTGCGGCAGAAGTTGTGCTTGCCAGGGACTGTGCGTTGAAGCAGCCGAGCGAAGACCAATCCTCTCTGCAGTCTCTCAGTAGCCGTCGAATACATGACGACGTCTCGGAGGCTGAGGCGAAACTTTGGGGAAAGAAGATGCTGGGTCCTTTTACAGTAGCGACAGAGGCAAGGAAACCCTTCCCGCCGATTGGAGCCTTGCCTTCCAGAGTCGAGCTGGCGAACTTGCCACCTCTTGGAAGCGGCCCCACTGCCGCCCAGGGTGGTATGCCCTTGGGGGATGTTTTGAATGATTTGTCTATCTCCTCTCGGTTGCATTCTGGTTCTAGTGGCGCCTCTTGCAGCGGAATGCAGGTAACAGAGCAAATACCACCATCGCTGCCACCACGACTAGGATTGGTAGTTAATTCCTTTTCTTCGCCGCTCGCACCAGCGAATAAAAAAGAGGTGGGGAATTCATCTCGCAATTCTTTGACCCCGCAGTCAAACAGTTTATTTCAGCCAGTCCATCTCTGTCCCAGAAAGCTCCCGCCATTATCTCCCAAGGCAGCAATTTAGTAAAAGGAGTCGCAGATGCAGGCTTTGGCTGAAGAAGGGGTCTAGAAGGGGTTGCATGCGGCCGAAAGAAGGGCTGTATTTGGGGTGTGGTGCATTGTGAAGTCGTATATTCTGCATAAATTGCAGTTTGGAAAATTGTTAATTGTATGAAGAGGGTACCAAATACGCAAATCTGCTTGTTTCTTTTTCCCTTTACTCTGAGGAGACAAGTGTGAGGTCAATGGGGGGGGGGAACGTATTGCACAATTTTACAGAGGCCTTTACAAGGGTTATGCGACTCTCTGAGGCTCATTAGATGCTTCTGTGTTTTTGCTTGGTTCTCCAGCTCCGGCACTGACTACTTTATCTTTTTTTTTGTTGTTTATTTCCAATGATGCTGCGTTGGAGTTCGGCGCCACTGCAATTTCCTTTTTTTTTATACTCCAACTCCATCGCCCCTGCGCAGAGGAGAGGGAGGGTCCGGCGGTTGCGGCGCCCTAAATGGTCCCTTCTCGTGTGTTTTTTTTTAAAAAAAAGCCAACACTCAGTTATTGTAGAGCTCCTTTTGGTTTTATTTGTTTATTGGTCGCCCTCACTCTCTTTCTCTTTCTCTGTGTGTGCGTGTTTTTTTTAATTTGGATGCATCTCCCCCGAATTGGGGGGACGATGGGCGTGCGCGGGAGCAGCCCGCCATTTCCCTGTTTTAGCCCCGACCCCTCCTCTCTTTCCCCCCTCCTGCCGGGAAGAATAAAGGGAAGGGCCTCATCCAGGCGCAGCACTTCAGCCATCTTGTGTTCTGACCCGCAGTTTGAGTCCTTCTAGCGTCATTCATCCATTCTCTGACTGCGCGACGGCAAGGCGTAAAAGTGGTTCGTAGAGTTTTTTGTTTGTTTGTTTGTTTGTAGTCCGACTTGCCTGAGAGGTGGTGGAAACAAAGCGGAAAGGGAGAAAAGAAAATTGCTGTGCGGGGTCTCCATCTGATGGTGAATCCCATTGGTTGTGATTGCATTGCTGCGGGTGGGGTGAGATGGTAGCTGCGGAAGACACTACCATGTTTTTGCCTGTTTTTGCCCGTTTTTGCCCGACAGACGCATCCATCTTTTTTTCCTCTTTTTTTTCCCGATCTTTTGCGCTTGCAGAGTTTATATGAGGGCCGTGAGGCGGTCAATATAACCTTCGCTGCTGTGTTGTGTGTTTTTTTGTGGTAAAAGGAGAGGGCAGGGCTCTGCGGTCACGAAAACTAAGGCTTAAAAAAAAAACATTAATTTCTTCGTTTTTGTTCTTGTTTTCTTTTTTATAAGAGGGAGGGGGAAGTAGTTGTGATTGGATGGGGGGACGTGGATGGAATGAATTGCATCGTCCCAATGTTCTTCTTTGTAGCGTCGCCTTTTCACTAGGCCTTGCGGTGGCAGTTCGATGGTTGACAAATCGCTGGGGGCCCCAGATGCGTCTCCGAAACAGGGTGATTGTTTTGTCCTCTGTAAGAAAAATAGTGAAGGATTGGGAGGAGGTCTGTTTGCGTGAAGTGGAGAAGCAGATGACTGCGTTGACGGTAGGCGAGACGCATGACGAACTTCTTTTTACGTCGCATGAAGAGGGCGTGAGTGTGAAGAGTAAAACTGCCCCATTCCATGGCGCCGTGTGTTCCATGGCGTACGCGCCTGCCGTCAATGTGAGCCAATGGCTGCGTCTTTGGCGCGTCGGCCGCCATCTGTGCGCCTCCATGGTGGAAGATATGTTATTGTTGCAAAGACTGGGGTACATCATTAAGTTTGTCGCATTTCGGAGACTCACTCTAATGGCAGAAGCGCGGTATTACGCAGCACTCTGGCGTTGTGCTCTCTACGGGGATGATGGCGGAAAAATGGGGGTTGGTGCCCGGACGCCGCGTATACCTCCATGGCTTGTTGGACGGCGTCCTTTTTGGTTTGTGCCTTTATCTGGAACGGACTCAGGGTGTTCTCTCTGCCTTCCCTTGAGTTATTTCCCTGTTGAGACTATCCTCACTAGTACGGCGGAGGAAACATGGATTAGGGAACTTGTGGATCTTCTGCCGCTTCTGACGGAAGAGGTTTCTGTGCGTTTTATTCCCGACATAATGAGGACCAGGCGTACGCTTCGCCTTGTCCGCCGTCTGGTTCAGCGGAAATTCCCTCTTCCCTGGCAGCGGTTGTGGAAGGAGATTGACCGTTTATTCCTCACGTACGCTGCGCCATTGGCCAGGGAACAACTTCAAAGACGTGAGGCGGCCTGTTGCCGCTTCTATGAGGAGAAGCTGTTTGGGGGCGTGGAATTGGTGACAGGTGAAGGGGCGGAAATGGAAGCCGGGGAAGAAGGTCTTTTTTCTCTCAGGCTTAGGGAACGGGCTGGGAGCGTCGGATGTGATGTGTTGCTGCGGGATGCGGCGGTTTCACGCAGGCTGCAGCTTTTGCTGCGACTGCGTTCGCTGAGCCACGCAGTGCGTGTCGGAATAGGCTTGATGGCACCACAGCACAACTTCTTTGCGGAATGGGTGCTGCTTACGTTGCTTTCCGCTGCCTCGGGTAATGTGGGGCGTGAGCAAACTGTCATGGAGTTTTCGGGGCATGTTCTCTGGGGTTCGCTGGCAGCAGTCGTGAAGGCCGTGATGTGGTCTCTGGATGACGCCGTGAAGGCAAGAATATGCAACTTGTTGCGCAATGAAGTGCACTATGAGCTGAACGTGAAATTGGCCACCGCCGATGAGGCCTTTTTGAGACGCTGCTTCGAGGAAGGTCTCACAGGACGAAACAATCCGGTAGAAAGTTCGTCGGCGTATGCTGAGCATGCAGCGTCGCAAATGCTGGGCCGGTTTGATTACGAGCAGCGAAGGTTTATGGCGCGCGTTGTGGTGCTGCTGTTTAGCATGTGGCGACGCGAAGTTTGCGTTGCGGTCTTTGCCGCTGTCGTCGCCATGTTTGATTATCATGAGGCGGCGCACATTCTTTGTTGCTGCTTGGGACTCACGGTTGCGAAGGAGCTGGACCACGAGCTGGCGCGCATGGAGGCGGCGGACCCACCACCAGCAGAGCCGTGCTACGGCCTCCGCCTTATGATGGACGTCTTGGCCGAAGCGGAGGGAAGGAAAGAGGAAGGTGTGCAGCGTCGATACCGGCGGGGAACGACATCCCATCCGTGCCTCGCACTTCTCGTTTGTGGGGGTACGTTTGTGCTCGACTGGCCAGCTTCAGCGAGGCGGCGCCCAGGCGACAATGGGGTTGAAGCCGCAACGCTGCAGCACCCAAAGTCGCTGGAAAGATTCCTGGACAGTGTCATCAACGACGACAGCTTCTCTCTCGCGGCGAAGGAAGATTCACCCGTGACCCGGCGAAACACGTATCGAACTTCGCTTGTACAAAGCCTCAAGCAGAACGCGGCTTTTGTCAGGGGATTTGTCTTGAACACGGCTCCTGTTCAAGCCTCTGGGGCACCGGTGACTAATGTAGTGGGAAGGGAGGACTCGCGTCAATGGCATGCCTTGAATAGGAGCGCGGAGGCCATTCTGCATCCCGAGGAGATTGCCCTCTTACAAGACCCGCAAGGCATGCGTCATATTCCACAGACACTTTCCTTTGACGATGTGTTTGATAAACCCTCTCGATTCATTCTTCGTCAGCTTGGTCTTGAAACCGTCTTTGCTTACATGGCGGCCACGGCGGTTAAGCAGCGCGGACGCCGGTCCATCAAAGAGTCTCTCGTTGACTTTGTCTCCGGCCCTTTTCATAATGTGTTTGTGCGGACTTTTGTGCAACTGATGGAATTTACAGAACAGGTCTTTTTTTACGCCGTCTTCAGTTCAGATGTGAAGTTCATTTGGACGTCTTGGCCGGTTGTTCGCCAGTTCGCCTCTCTTGCTTCGTGCGGCCCTGAGTACCATCGAGTTGCGGTGAATGCGCTTGGCGGTTGGGGTGCGGTCTCGCTTTTGGGGCGAATGAGCGGATACCGTGTTGCATTGAGGGAGTACGGGGATTATAGTTTTGGACCTCCATTTCGTTTGGTCACGCAGCTCTCTCGCCAGTTGCCGACCAACTTGCATGATGCTTCACCGATACATTATGCGCCGCTCTTGGTGGAGCGCCGCCGGGCATGGAGCAGGGAAATTGAAGCTCATGGCAACCTTGAAGTTGATAATATTGGCCGCATTGTTGGTGGGTTTTCTCTTTTAAAGGGTATTGTTTTCCGTGGCGTGTACTTTGCATATCCGCAGCTTCAACATTGCGTGCAGACGGGGTCTGTGCAACCAACGCTGTCCAACCTCACTGTGGAGTTTCCCGCCGGCCACATGACGGCCATTGTTGGACCAACCGGGTCCGGAAAAAGCACTATAATTAGTCTGCTAAAGCGTATGTACGATCCGGTGCCCAAGGTGCAAATTAACGAGGCCTGCGATACATGGTGCGGAAGTGAAGCCTTGATAGATGTTATTCGTCATTGCCTCTGCGTGAGTTTGCCGTTGCCTACGGATGAAGCTGCGGAAAATATTATTCTACTGGATGGTATTCCCGCGGGGTGCTTTTCCACATCGTATTTGCGGTCCGCCATCGGGATGCTAGAACAGGTGCCGTGCATTTTCGAGGAGCTTACTTACATGCAAAACTTTTCTCTTTTTGCGCCCGGTGTTTCCACGAAGGAGGTCGTGGCGATGGCGAAACTGTGTGGCTGCGACGGGTTTGCTGAGTCTCGCGCGCTTGCGTATGAGGGGCTCGTGGGGACGCTGAGCGCCGGGGAAAAGCAACGTCTGGCGCTAGCGCGTGCGACGGTAATCGGTTGCAGGGGGTCGGGGGTGTTTTTGCTGGACGAGCCAACGGCCCGCCTGGACGGGCACAACGAGAGCCTTGTCGAGGAGGCGCTGCGGGGATTGCTGGGGCGGTCGCGCCGCATGACACTCGTCGTTGTCTCCCATCGCCTCTCGACGGTTCGAACCGCCACCCACGCCGTTGTTCTGGACGGGGGCCGGTTGGAGTTTCACGGGCCCTTGAAGGGCGCGGCGGCGTCGAGCCGCTACCTGCGGCGAGCTTCGGCGGCGCAACAGCTGCGCGGCTAACGGGGAGAGGGCGGGCGCGTTTTTTACGCGTATTGTTGTTATCGTTTTTTTTTTTTGCCGGAGGCTGGCGGCGCGCGCGAAAGTGGCGGAACCCGCGTTCTGGCCGCTCGCGCGAAGCTCTGCCAATAACCACCCCAATGAATTGTATGCTTTTAAAAAAAATATATGTATTTTTTTTTTTTTTTTTTTACAATGCACTACCATAGGAACCAAGCAAAATTCAAGTTTTGAAAGGCGTCTCGGTTCTCGGGCGGCGCCCTTCAGGGGTGCTCTCCGCCACGGGCCCATTGTAGTCGGGTGTGGGGCGGCTGGCCGGCGCGAGGGCACTGGCGTTTCGGCGCGGCGTGGCGGTCCGGCGGGGCTTTTTGGTTGAGTTCCGCCCGGCGCGGTTGGCCGCTTTTGGGGGGCCGGTCTGCCCGCCGGGAACGTCGCCCGTGCGCGGGGAGGCGCGCCAGAGGCGGTTTCGCAGGCGGGAGTGCGACTCGTTCCTTTTGTCCTGCAGGACTTCCGGGCGCGCACGGCGGGAGCCCTCCGCGGTTTAGTCGGCGGCACGGCGGTCGTCGCACACACGGGGGGCGACAGAGAACCGCGCCCGCCGGCGCTTCGGTGTGGGGGGCCGGCCGCCCCCAACGGACGGAGTTTCGCGCGGGCATGCGGGGGGTGCCGGCGGACAATCCTGCGGAGGTGCCTTCGAGGCGGGGCGGGGCGGGTTAAAGGCATCCGTGGCACTTGTTTCGTCGGCGCTCTCGCGACGAGGCGGCGTGCGAGTTTGCTTCGGGCCCGTTTCTGAGTTGCTAGGGTTGGTCTTTGAGGGAAAAGAAGGGCTCCGATTCGGAATCGAACCCGGCACACACGGGGAAGAGACGCCACCTCACAGACACCTCAACCCTGCCAACTGGGCCACGGCAAAAACGCCCGCCGCCTCTTTTCTTCTCGAGTGAAGTAAGATTGGCCATTTTTCTTTGATCACACTTTTTCAAAGCTTCAGTAGATGAGCGAGGAGGTCCTGCATATCTTCTCGGCTATTTAGCTAAGATCAAGTTTTTAAACTGTTCTTATCAGAGTAATTCCTGATATGGGCCTCGGCCCAGGAATAGAAACTGTTGATCTCCAAAGCGTTCTTCCGGAGTTCCACGTGTCCGGACGGGGCGTTTTCCATTTTCTTTTTTTATTTCTTCTCCTCTTGGGCGTTGTCCGCGGCGGCGCGCGGGGCGCCAAAGGGACGAAAAGCACCGGGCGACCCTTTTTGGAGGCCGCTCTTCCTTTCTCCGCGGCGCACCCCCTGGGGAGGCGCCCCCCAGTTTTGGGCACTTTTTCCCCCAGATGCCCTTTTTTTTTGCTTCGTTGCTCGCTTCTCCTTCCTTCAACGGGGGCGGGGTGGCCCATTTATTGACTGAAGAGGCTTCTTGGGGTTGGTTGGGTGGCTTGTAGTCGCGCAACGTTGCTTTTTTTCTTCTACTTCCTCGTTTTGGAACAAAAACCTCGCACTGCCGGCTCCTGAATTTGGGAACAGGAGGGACTCGCTGAAAGAAACCCGCCGGAGGTAAAAGAATGTAACGGGCACTGCCACCGTTTCTCTCGTATTTATATTTTTGCGTTTTCTGCTCTCCAGTTCATTGGGTGAGAATCTGGGGTTGCAGCTGTCAACGAGTTATTATTATTATTATTATTATTATTGTTGTTGTTGTTGTTGTTGTTGTTGTTGTCCCCTTTCCTTTTTAAATCAGTGAGAAGGTTATTTATCTCCAATTTTTTCTTCTTCCTTCTTATTGTGTTTCTCCCTATTTATCCTTGTTGCCAAAAGAGCCAGTAAGGGAAATTTAACGAATGAAGGGTCTCTACTTTCTACTTCCTACGGAAACCAGACAGGTCGATTCTTTTGCTTTGCTTCTTT